TTACAACATGTGGCAACATTACAAGGCGTGTCCCTCGCAAATGAGAGAGGGAGGAGTGCGGTTGCCATACCTGTCTTCTATCGTGCATGCCAGGGGCATTCCACTTGTGTAGCTTCCATAGAGAGAATGTATGTTCCATATGACCCTGGCCAAGCCAGGAGTCAGGGTCACGGGTCACTTCTCCATGTCACAGACATGCAGACGTTCCTGGAATCTACAGATGGAAGGGTGCGCTTTCCAAAGAGAGACTCTGGGTTATGCCTTGAAGCAGACTACGAATTACTAAGGCTGCTTCCGACCAAAAGGAGCCCAACAATGCCAGATGCAAGGCATATCCCTTCGTGGCTCAGCCAGCGGAGGTATGAGGAGGCTCTCCCCCCGAGTCGATTTGTAGCTATGGGCAATCGCGCGCAAGCAGGAGAGCCGCCAACAAGTGGGACGTGGCCCGCAGAGGACACAGTCCATTTGTGGGATAAGCTCCCCAACCATAGAGATTCCTGGCCACTAATTCTTGTGTTCACAGGCCGAGTACTTACTCGTTTGTCATATAGAATTTGCCAGGACGGGACTCTCGTGTCTCGAGAGGTGCCGAGGTTCACTGGTATTGGCAAGGCCGTCACCCTTTGTTGAAGTTGGAGACCCAACGGATTCTAGAAGCCAGCAGATGTTTTGGTCCGTTGTTTTCAACCATGAATGGGCTTCATACGAGGTGACTTTTGACAACGACTCAGTGATCGGTTGGATTCACACTGACGAAACGCTGTCGTAGGTCCCGTCTCACAGTCCCCAATTGCCGCCCGAAGCACAAGAACGTGTTCAGTCTGTTCCATGGACTGACGATGGTAGGTTTTTGTGCTCTCAATTTCACTGGGTGCGCACTGGCTTCGGACATTGCTCATGTTGCAACTGTCGGATCAATTACAAACATAGAAACATAGAGTCACTCATGACTATATGCTTCAGACGTGGAATTGTGATATCATTCCGACATCCCTTACGGCAAACGGAATTAATTGCACGTGGACAGCCCTCATGATCTTCTTCGTACGCGTGCTGAATGGATCGGTGCGCGTGTGTATAGACAACGGAGAGCCTCTGCGACTGTTCTAAACAATATCACCAGTAATCAACAGCAGGAGCGCAAGTGGGCAAATCGAGCATACACGCGCATGGCTGCTCCAGGTCAAATCTTTTACAGCCAGCCAGGTAGCTTCCCTGCCTGGGTCCCAGACAACGCCGCGGCACAGCCTGCATGCGGTAAATTTGGCATTCCTGGTGCTACTGCTGCTAGGAATATGCTTAAGTTCGTTCGCGATCGAGAAGAGAATGTTCGTGAGAGTGGACATGCCAGTGAGCACCCCGACAGCCAAGCTGGTTCGGTGGGGCCGAGACGACCACAGGACGCGGCAAAAGCGAGGCCGCAACCGCCACCTCCGCCGCGCAGACCTGACGTCCAAGACGCTCGGGCTGGCGACGAAGTTACCGAATCCCAATATTCTGCCAGCGGCCCAGCCGCCCGCCTCGGCAGGAGAAGAATACTCATAGTATTCAGACGCACGGGATTGGTCGAGGCCCCAACGCGCGCGCGATGGTGCCATGGATGTCGGCCGGGGCGCAGCTGGCTACGACCCGTTCGTCTCCTACCCGCACTACATAAATTACGTGCTGGACGGATGCTACGTCCATCGGGACCGGATCTGGCGGCTGCCCTACAACGTCTGGTGGTCACAGACGTGGCATGTCCTGTCTCTGTATGAACATGACTACCGCTTCCCGCCGAAGGGGAAGGCGTCCAAGAACAAAGACAAGCACAACAGACCAGCGTATTACGCTGGCCGTGGCAAGGGAAGATCCCGTTCGCTTCGTGGCGGCGAAGGACAATCAGGAGGCCCGGCGTCATCACTTCCGAGGCCTCCGACCCCGCCGACGGGGGGCAACCCTTTCGAGGATCTGAGTTAGGCCCAGCCCGCGTGACTTAGTCGCTGCATGCGCATGCGAGAGAATTTTCGCCGATCGACGAAGTCGTATCGGACGAACAAGCTCTACCGATCGACAAAGTTGTATCGGCGGAGAGAATTTATTTAGCTAATGGTGGGAGTCGTCGGGCCTCTTCGGCCCTCAGCCCCCTGGCAGCCACCGTTGAGCCGTAAAATTATTTTGCGGTTGGCTCCGGTGGTTGCGTATATGTGCAGGCTGGGGACGCTGTGGCGGGATGGGCTCTACGAGGCCCGCCGCGGGGGGAGTAAATATGCTCCTCTCCGCCTCATCTTAATACTGCTTATCATACTGCTTGCCTCGCAGCGCACTGTCTGACTATTACTGCGGTACCATCCCGCAGCTGTTTGTGCTCGAAGGTGAAAGGGAGCGCGCCGCTGTGCGTCCGCGCGCGGGCGTCGGCCGGCCGGCCTCCTCCCTTACCATACCTAGAGTACATTTGCTTACCAGTTGTTTGTCTTATCGATGTCTCTTCCCGTACCCTCTACCACTGAGCAGAGTGAACGTGAGATCTTAATTCCTTTGTCATCTTACCCCGATTCTCACAGGAAAGACTCTTCTCCCCCTTCTCCTCCTCCTCCTCCTCCTACTCCTCCGCCTCTTCCTCCTCCTCCTCCTCCTACTCCTCCGCCTCCCTCCTTTTCCTCCTCCTCCTCCTCCTCCTCCTCCTCCGGCTCGGAAGTCCCTGGGCCTTCTGCTGAGAAGTTTTCCAAGCCTGCCCCGAAGACTCAACAACTTCCCAGAAGGCGCGAGGGCTTCTGAGAGGTCCCGCCGCCTTCCGAGCAGGCCTTCTCCTTCTCATTCCCCCCTTCGCTCGCCGCCGAGATATCACTGGGCAGAGGACTCATCTTCCATCGACGCAAGCAACGCCAGCGACAAGCGCGACAGCGCCTCGGCACTTGCCGTTGAGACGACCTGGGCTGCAGGGGGACTGCCCTCGGCAGCGCTCGCCAAGCCGGTGCCTGGGGCGGGGCTGGCCGCCGCGGACTGCGCCGCGCTCTCGTCCAGCGTGGCCGCGGATTTGAAGCAGGACCTGGGCCACCGCAGTCGTGCCGCGAGGAGAGAGGAGGACAGGGAGGGAGAGGGGAGGAGGATACCTTGAGGAGCAGGCTGGGGAAAGTTCCCGAGCAGACGCCATGGCATTGGATTTCTGGGAGGGCCCCCAGCGAGTGGCCCTAGCACGGTCATTAGCCTCGGGGATCTCGTCGTCGTCGTCGTCCTCGAGGCTCGATCCACGGGGTGCCTCCTCCTACTCCTCGAACGATGAGGAAGGCGAGGAATGTGTTGTTTCTGGATCCTTCCGTTGACCAGTACTCGCGAGGCGAGGACGGAGGAGGGGAGGAGGTTCCAACAGGTGTCTCGCTATTTTCTGTCCACGCCTCAGGCTTCAGGATTGTTAAAGATCGATCCAGCAGGAGCCACTGGCAGGGGAACCAGATTTCGGGCCCAGCACCACTAACAGATACACGGAGTCCTCAATCCCATGAGTCGTGGTGCGCTCTTTCAGGGCTTCCCTGCCCTCTGTTGTCCGCGTTGGGATCCCACGGCAGGAAGAGCAGGGAACCACGCGGTTGGAACTTACCGAGGAGCAGCCTGATTTTGACCAGCCGTCGTCAACCTTGTGGGCTTTGGCAACCGCTGTGCCCATCAAGAACCTGGTGTCCTGCTATCGTGGGCGCCTGACGGCCAGATTACCGCCAGCCTCGTTAACCCCTCCTCCTCCCTCCTCCCCCTCCTCCCCTCCTCCCCCTCCTCCCCCATCCCTTCTCTTACAACTCACCTCTCGAGGCCTCTCAAGAGGCTGGCAGCGACTTCGAGCTGGAGTCAGGATCGGACTCGCCCCTCTAAGTCTTTCTCTGTTGTCGCCGAAGTCATTTGCTCTAGTTTCTGTTGTTTGGTCTTAGATGCAAAGAAGACCTCTCCCAATCGCACCCCCTGGACGTGTCGGCCGGGCGGGCCGGGCGTTTCGTTTGAGACTTCCCCTCCACTTGTAATCCTGTATTTTGGCATGCAAAACCTTTTTCATGGGTATAAGGCGGGTCGTGCTCAAACAGACGATTCTCGCTTCAGCGCCGAGCACATTTCATTCGTCCTGAAAGTTCTGCGGCAATTTCACGGATGGAGTGCGCGCCGTTTTCGAAAATTCGGTTCCCGTGCGCATTTCTTGACCCACGTTCGCCCCTATCCGTAAGGGTTTCGCCCCCTGCCGCCGGCCCCCAGGAGGAGGAGGAGGAGGAGGAGGAGGAGGAGGAGGAGGAGGAGGAGGAGGAGGAGGACTCCACTGCTGAGATTTACAGCGCTTATGTTCGCCATGATGGATCCTGAGCACGCCGCGTTGCAGACGCAGTGCGCGGCTCTGTTTGGCGGTGCACTCCCTTGTGCGCATGCGCTCCTGTGGGCATCGAAGGGGGGAAACGGCAGAAGCATAAACTCTCTGAGGTCCGCGCGGATTTAAGGGATCGTCACTGGACCCCTTCCTTCCCCTCCTGGACTCTCCTCCTCTTCCTCCTCTTCCTCGTCTGGGGGTGGGGAGGTTTGCCTGATTGCATGAGGGGTGTTGGCGTGCCTCGCGCAGTCAGGCTCGAATCAGGAAAGAGAAGGTCGATTAGCCACATCGCAGGATTGGCAGGATGCTCGAGTGTGTGCGAGAATCGGGATGTCTTCGGCTTGGGTGTCTCTGATCTTCGGAGTGTGTCATTGTGGGGGCCCCGAAGGGAGCAGCCAGCCTTGCATACGAATAAGTCGGGCGTGTCCCTCTACAGGAGGAATATTCAAAAATAGTAGAAAAACGGTACGGGGACGATTTTTCGAATCTGTTGTGTCTCTTTTGCGGTATTTTGCTGGTATTTCTTTTTTTTCGTAGAAAATCTGCCTGTAGGGAGACATGCCCGACCTACGCATACGACTCGCACTGGTGTCTCAGAGAGCTGTGGCGGTCGGATCTCCTGGGTCCCGTGGTACTCGGCGAGTGCAGGAGCGAGCGGACCTGCCTGCCGCTCGCGAACATGCTGTTTTTGTTCGCGGACGTCGCGACTTTCTCGTCTCACTTGATCCTTGGTTTCAAGCGGAAGAATTACCGCAAGCACATATCAACATACAACTTCTCGATCCTTCTGGTATCTTGGTCGATCTGGAACGTCGTTTCGCACCCACTGTGCCGGCAACACGTAGTGGACGTTCTCGTGACGCCTCCAGAGATCCACGTATTTATCAACGTCTCGGCTATTATTGTTTCCACCAGTAGTATTATGACTCCACCGAGCATGCGACATCTAGTTGGCCTTGTGCTTGGTGAGTTCCTTATCAGCTTTGTTCTGTCAGCCCTTGAGGTGTTCAATTTCTCCATGGATGGGAGCTGGCTCACAGCGGCTGGAATGGACATCGTAATATTCAACACTGCTATTTTGTTGGTTGGCTCGACAATCATTCTTGGCACAGTGACTGTTGACAAGGACATCAAGTCGTTGACACAAGATATGGAGAATCGTCTCGGCTCAGCAAGCTTGTTTGAGGACGACCTTGAGCGCCGGAAGCGCGCCGTGCTAACTGCTTTGTGCGACGCTGTGTTGACCATGGACTCGGACTTCAAGATTATAGAGAGCGATGGCGGAGCAGATCGGGTCTTTCGCAGATCTATGTTGAACGAAATGTTGACAGACTATCTCAAAAGTCAGGAGTCGAATAATAATCAAAGGCTGAACACCGACTTTCGGAGAACCCTGCGGATCTCTTGGATCGGCGCTGAACCCCCCTTTCTAGCTCGTGGGGTGCGCCAGATGCGCCGCCAGGGGGGTTCAGAGCCGTTCCAGGAGATCCGCGGAGCTCCGGCAGTTCCCAACCATCCTGTGGTGTTGGGTCTTCGTTTTGAAGAGACGGTCCCCACATTCTTCTCTCCTCTCTCCTCTCTCCTCTCTCCTCTCTCCTCTCTCCTCCTCCTCCTCCTCCTCCTCCTCCTCCTCCTCCTCCTCCTCCTCCTCCTCCTCCCCTCCTCCTCCTCCTCCTCCTCCTCCTCCTCCTCCTCCTCCTCCTCCTCCTCCTCCTCCTCCTCCTCCTCCTCCTCCTCCTCCCCTCCCCCCCCTCCTCCTCCCCCTCCTCCCCTACTCCCTCCTCCTTGCGTCCCCCCTACCCAGTACAGCGCTCCGTGGCCCCACAGGGAGCTCCACCGAAGGCCCCAGTGGGGGTGCCCGCATGCGTCCGCCACACCCAGTACAGAGCATCGTGGCCCCATGAGGAACTCCACCGAAGGCCCCAGTGGGGGTGCCCGCATGCGTCCGCCACGCCGAGTACAGCGTTTCGTGGCCCCATGAGGAACTCCACCGAAGGCCCCAGTGGGAGTGCCCGCATGCGTCCGCCACACCCAGTACAGCGCTTCGTGACCCCATAGGGAGCTCCGCCGGCAGTACAGAACTTCGTGGCCCCATAAGGAGCTCCACCGAAGGCCCCAGTGGGGGTGCCCGCATGCGTCCGCCACACGCAGTACAGCGCGTCGTGGCCCCATAGGGAGCTCCACCGAAGGCCGCAGTGGGGATACCCGCATGCGTCCGCCACACCCATTACAGCTTTTCGTGGCCCCATCGGGAGCTCCACCGAAGGCCCCAGTGAGGGTGCCCGCATGCGTCCGCCACACCCAGTATAGCGTTTCGTGGCCCCATAAGGAGCTCCACCGAAGGCCCCAGTGGGGGTGCCCGCATGCGTCCGCCACACCCAGTACAGCCTTTCGTGGCCCCATAAGGAGCTCTACCGAAGGCCGCAGTGGGGATGCCCGCATGCGTCCGCCACGCCCAGTACAGCGCTTCGTGGCTCCATAGGGAGCTCCACCGAAGGCCCCGGTGGGGGGTGCCCGCATGCGCCCGCCACACCCAGTACAGCGTTTCGTGGCCTCATATGGAGCTCCAGCGAAGGTCCTAGTGGGACCGCCTGCGTGCTCCCCCCCCGCCCAGTACACTGTTTCGTGACCCCATTTGGGGGCTCCACCGAAGGCCCCAAAGGCACCGCCCACATGCGTTTCCACAACCCACTACAGCGCGTCGTGGCCCCACAGGAAGCTCCACCGAAGGCACCAGTGGAACCGCCCGCATGCGTCCCCCCGCTCATTACCGCACGCCCCATCACGCGTTGCGTGGCCCACCGGAAGCGGCACCCACAACTCGTTTCTCACAACTACATATGGTGGGTCCTTCGCCCGGACAGTTGTTGTTTACGCGGGGTTATTGTTCCTCCGAGGAAGAGAAAGATGGGTTTCATTCGGCCGTGAAGAAACAATTCCCAGACGACGGATCCGTCGGGGAAGGTTTGGCGACGCGCACAAGGGGATGGTGCGAGGGGAGGGCGGCCTTCCTAGAAGGCGGGGGGCTTCTAAGGAGGCATGTGGCCCCTTGGAGTCCACCCCAGCTTGTAAGAAGCCTTCTGAGAAGCATCCAGGCCTTTGCTGCCTCGGTACGCCCGTTTTGATACGCAACACGTACCATGCGCAAAACGTCCGTGCCAACACGTTGCGTGTTGGTTCAACGCATTGGTCCACGTTTTGGCGAACGCATCGCGTCAGACCTACGTCGTCAGTCTACGTGTTGAACTCCGTATCAATACGCAACGCGTTGCGTGCTGCGTATCGGGGCAGCTAAGATCCAGGCGTTTCTGGGCTGGCCCTGCCTTCGAAGCAGCCCCCCGCCTTAACTCAGAGGGCCGCCCCCGCCCTGGTGACCCCCCTCCTGCGCGCGCCGCCGAAACAGGCCCCAAGCGCATGCGCATCAGCTTCCGCGACGCGAGCGACGAGATGTTCGAGGCCGACGTCGTGTTGTCGGATGCGTGCACGGACAAGACTGGGAAGGTGGTCAAGTATATGGTGGGCATGCACATCCGCGGTGGCCAGGGGGAGCCAAGTTCTAGGTCTCCTGTGTTCTCGGGCGTCCTCAGAGGCCCTTCGGCCTCGGCGTGATTCTCCACCAGCTGCGACTTGGCGAGACCATTCTGGCCAGAGGTGCCCGAGTCATCCCGAACGGCCGCCTGAGGCGCGAGCTATGACCAGGAAGCGAGAGTTTCCCGCATCGCGACCCGATGACGACGAAGGTTCTTGGAATCTTCAGCCCCTGAGGGCCCTCGCCGGGCCGTGGGGCCGTCGCACAACGACTCGGGGTCAGAAGCCAGTCCTTGGGCAGCTCCGTCGTCAGACAAGAAAGCATGCATAAGCATAGCTGTTCGGAGGTCCGCGCGGATCTCTTGGATCGGCCAGTGCGCTCCGGAAGGTGGTCCAGCGCCGATCCGAGAAATCCGCGCGGGCTCTCGAGCAATTGCGTTCATGCCATCGCATTGTCTTCTAATCCTGCCATCCCCTCCCTTCGCCTCCACTCCTGTCCCCCTCCTCCCCCTTCCCGGATCCCCTCCCGTTGGCCGCCCCTCTCGCGCACGTCGCCAATCCCTCTTACCGGAATCCCCCCGTCCCCTCTTCGCCTTCCCTCCTCTCTCCGATGGAGTGGGCGGGGACGCGGAGGCAGTGAGGCCAGGGGGGGGGGGATGGCTCTTTCACGGCCCTGGCATGGAAGAAGCTCGAGCCGCCGCGGAGCTCTTAGGATGCCCACCGCCCAAAGTGCCCCCCCAGAGCAGTCCAGGGCACGCTCGCAGGACGGCTCTCGGAAGAGCAGACGCAAGACAGCATAGATATCCGCTTTTGGAGGCCCGCGCGGATTTTTCCGGCGCTGGGCCACCCTCCCAGGGCTCGCGACCGAAGCAAACCCGATGAATCCCGCGTCTTACGATTGTGCGCTGCCCACCGCTCTGCTATGATGGGGCATGGCATCGGATGCTTAGCGTCAGGTCGGGCATGTCCCCCAACAGGCGGATTTTTGACGAAAAATAAAAAGTAGTCAAACATACACCAAAATGATCAAACACAGTAGAAAATTCGTCCCCAGACTATTTTTTGTCTGTTTTTGAATATGCCTCCTGTAGACAGACAGGCCCGACTTAAGCTTAGCGCTCTCTGCGCGGCAGCCGAGAAGACGGGAGGGCTCCGCGCGGATCTTCCAGAGTTTGTGCCCGGGGCGCTCTTGGTGGCGTTTCTGCTCTTCGAACGGACAGCCCTCCGTCGGTCTCGCCGCTCGCCCTGCTGGGCGAGCCCCTCCCTCCTTTGCCCTGCGGCTGATGCAGCGGCTGCCAAGCCTGCGCGCACATTCTCGAGGTGCTGGACCTTCCTCTCCTCTCCTCCGACGTTGCCGTCCGCTCGTGACGCCGGCCCCCGGGGATCTCGACCACTCTCCCAGGGCCGGCTTCCCACTCCGAGCCACCTCGGTGACAGTCGCGGGGCCCAGAAATTCACCGAGCGCGCCCCACTACTCGCAGAGTGCCTGCTCGCAGACGCTCGAAAAGCACATGTCTGCTGCGACGTAATTTGTCGTAGATCCCCCGCGGCGGATCCACGCCATTTGCGAGTAGTTACCCTGTGAGCACTGGAGCGCGCTCGCCTGGAAATGGATACACAGTGGGCGGAAGCGGCGAAACTCCTGCCGCCGCTGTTTCCCCAAGCAGCTTGCTACACCGGGGTGCTGCCGTGGTAGAAAGCAGTTCCGGTGGAGGGACGGGCCACGAGCGGAGCCATCCTCAAGGCAATGTCGTGATCCAGGCCGTTTCGCCTGAGACATCCTCACAGGTCTCGTTTCTGAGATGGCCAGGATTGGGCGTTTCGCCTGAGATATCCTAGCAGCTTGGAGCTCCGAGATGCCGCGCGCGAAGTGGTCGGGCCAAGCTCGCTTGGGCTATCCTCGCAACTCTGAGCTCCGAGCTGCCGTGCGAGAGGTGGTCTGGCGCGTTTCGCCTGAGACATTCTCGCAACTCTGGGCTCTGAGATGCCGCGGGCCTAAAATCCCCTCGGGGAACTTTCCGACAGCAATCCCGGCGGCCCCAGACGGTCTCGAGACACCCCCAAGACGCCGTCCAGGGGTCTCTGGCGACGCACGATGCGTTCTAAACTGCCCCGGAGGCCCCAAGACGCCCCAAGAGGCCTTTAAGATGCCGCCCAAGAGCGCCCCGAGAGGGCAACATCGTTGATTTCCATTGTTTTTTGCAAATGTTTTTTGCATTCTCGCTGTTTCGTGCTTCTGGCGCTAAAGCACCGCCCAAGAGGCTCCCAAAACCGCTCCAGGTCGGCCCAAGGAGGCCCCCAAGAGAGTCCCAAGACGGCCCAAGAAAGCCCCGAGACGGCTCCGGAACCGCCCAAGACGGCGCAAGAGGGTCCCAAGAAGGCCCCAAGAGGGGCCAAGAGAGGGAACGCGAACTGAAAAATCAAGCTCTCCGCCCCAAGATGCCCCCAAGAGGCCCCAAGAGGTCCCCAGGAAGCCCCCAAGAGGCCCCAAGACGCCCCCAAGAGGCCTCACGAGGCCCCCAAGAGGCCGCACGATGCGTTTTGAACTGCCCCAGAGGCCCCCAAGACGCCCCAAGAGGCCTTTAAGATGCCGCCCAAGAGCGCCCCGAGAGGGCAAAATGCCTGATTGTGTTTTTGTTTGTTTGAAGCTGTTTTTTTGCATTCTCGCTGTTTCGTGCTTCCGGCGCTAAAGCACGGCCCAAGAGGCTCCCAAAACCGCCCCAAGACGGCCCAAGAGAGTCCCAAGACGGCCCAAGAAAGCCCCGAGACGGCTCCGGAACCGCCCAAGACGGCGCAAGAGGGTCCCGAGAAGGCCCCAAGAGGGGCCCAAGAGAGGGAACGCGAACTGAAAAATCAAGCTCTCCGCCCCAAGATGTCCCCAAGAGGCCCCAAGAGGTCCCCAGGAAGCCCCCAAGAGGCCCCAAGACGCCCCCAAGAGGCCTCAAGAGGCCCCCAAGAGGCCCAAAAGAGGCTCCAAGAGGCCCCAAGACGGCACCCAAAAGGCTTCAAAACTCTTTCTAAGAGGCCCCCGAATACATGCAAGAAGGTCCCATGTCAACTTCAAGAAGCAGTCCAGGATGCTCCGAGGAGGCCCCAAGAAGCTAGCTAGAACTTGAGCGCGCGCGAAGCGCTCGCGATGGTTCTAGTAAAATTAGTTTTCGCCTTATTCGTTTTGTTATTCGTCTTCCTCCTTCCCCTTTTCCTCCTCCTCCCCCTTTTCCTCCTCCTCCTCTTCCTTTGGGGGTTCAGGGGGCCGTCCGACCGCGCTGGAGCTCGCTTCTCTGCACCCCCCCGGTCCCCCCTCGAGGTGAGTTCCGCGCGCGGGCCCTGGAGGACGACCAGCCGCGTCGTCGCCCTCGCCGCCGCCGCCGTCGGCCCTCGTCGCCCCGCCCCGCCCGTGCCGCCCGTCGCCGCTGCCGTCCTCGTCCTCCTCGTCGTACTCCTCCTCGTGCTCTTCTTCTTCTTCCTCCTCCTCCTCCTCCTCCTCCTCCTCCTCGTCGTTCGTCGCCCTCGTCGGTCGCCGTATCCGTCCTCGTCCTCGTGGTCGTGGTCGCGGTCGTCCTGCGTCGGAGTCTGCCTCCAGTCGTCGCCCTACCCCGAAGCCTGCCTCGTCGTCGTCCTCCTTCGAAGCGATGGTCGTCGTCGCCCTACCTCGAGACCTGCCTCGTCGGCCAGATCCTCCAGAAGCGGCCAGGAACCTCCGAAACGTCGACGACGTCGTGTTGGATAATCCCTCCCCGAAGAGGTTTGGACAGCTCTGGACGTCTTCGTCCTTCACGAGAGGTTTTCTTGGTGCTCCCAATCAAGCAGGGCAAAACGGGCAATACAACGAAAATGTTGCCACCGTCGTCGCCGCCGTCGTCTCCGTCACAATCGTCGTCGTCGTCGTCGTCGTCGTCGTCGTCGTCGTCGTCGTCGTCGTCGTCGTCGTCTCGCTCCCCTTCCTGCTCCTCCGCCCGTGCGGCGCGCTCCCGCCTGCGTGGGACGACGACGAGGACGGCGGCGCCGACCCCAGAAGTTTTGACCCGTCCCGATGGGGCAGTCTCTCTCGGCGGCGAGCGAGGTGGGGAAGCGAGAGGGCGAATCCCCTCTCGGCTGGCGGCTGGGCCTCTCGGAAGCCCTCGCGCCTTCTGGAGGGTTTTTTTCTGTGCCTCTGGGGAAGTCTTGGAGAACTTCTCCGATGGCCTGGGGACTTCCGAGCCTTCCGAGAAGGCCCGCCCCCTCTCACTTCCCCCCGGGGGCGCGCCGCCGACATATGAGGCAGCTTTTCGCACAGGATCCACTCTTGAGGGCCCCCTCCCCCTCCTCCTCCTCCTCCTCCTCCTCCTCCTCCTCCTCCTCCTCCTCCTCCTCCTCCTCCTCCTCCTCCTCCTCCCCCCAAAAATCACCCCCTGGGCCTC